TCATCCAGTGACTTGTGATGAAATCACAATTCTAATTTAATTAGAACCAGAATAAGTCACATGAAAATATTACAAAAAACTTAGTAATTAATTTTCTAAAATATGGCAATGCTATAAAATAAGAGTCATTCTTATTGCGCAGATAAGGAAACTGAAACTCCAAAACCAGGGATGGAAAACTCTTTCCTTTACCAGAGAGATGGTAAATATTTTAAAGTTTGCGATCACATAGTCTCTGTTGCAACTATTCAGCTCTGTCATGACTCATGAAACCAGCCATAGACAAGATGTAAATCGACATATATAGTTGCGCTCAAAAATGTCATTTATAGAAACCGAGATTTAAATTTCAATTATTTCTCATGTGTCATGAAACATTATTATTCTTTTGATTTTTTAAGCATTTAAAAATGTTAAGTACATCTTAGTTTGTGGACCATATAAAAACAAGTGGCAAGCTAAATCTGGCTTACAGGACATATTTTGTCAATCTTTGCTCTGAAAGAATAAATGATTGCCTAACGACATATAACTGGTATGGTCCAGCTTAAACATAAATCCATCATATTACAAAGGTAATTATCTTTCCATGTAATTTCTATATGATACCATCAAAATTAAAATCAAACATTCCTCGCCACTTTTTGCAACACTCTAAATTAAGTCTATATTTTTTTCTCAAGGAGCTAGAAATGTCAGCATAGAAGGAGACTGAAAACATCTAAAATGGTTTTTATTCTTCTTTTATTCCTTTTCAAATGCAGTGTCAAGTGGTATCCAGATATTGCTCACATTGTTCCTGCCCTCTGTCTGAAGGTGAAATTCTTCAAATACTTGACTGTCTAAAGTTCAGCAATTGACATAGTTCACTTTTGTGAGGAAATAGGATGACTTTCCAAGGAAAAAAATGAATTTACCACTTTCATTACTTCACCCAAGGCAGAAAAATTTGAGTCTATGAAAATATCCAAATATCTTTCTCCAATATTTGAGACATTGATGGTGAAAAGAATTGTTTTCTAGAAATATAAAAGTGAACTTCATTTCTCATGGAAGGTGCTATTACCAAAGGGTTTGTACATATTGTAGTTCTCTTTTACTGAAAATAGATGGCCATAAGGGACACAAAGACCTTGGCCTACTGTGAAATTATTACTGCTGCTTACTGGATATTTACATCTTCCTGTCACCTGGTAGCATTTCATTCCCTGTCCCTCTGTACTTCGGGGGAAACGTACGATCATTCTTGTCAATGAATTATGGGGAGAAAGTGAAGTGTGTCACTTTTGGGTTGAGAATTTAATTGGTTCTGTAACATCCTCTGGGGGGTTGTTTACCATTTATCAGAAAAAGTGGAAATGTTCCAGACTGTGGCTCCTCCAACAGCCTAGGTGCCATGGTGAAAATGATGGCAACACTAAAAAATACGTCCATAATTTTGTGTATTAAACTGTATAACTTTCATTAAAAGTAACTTTTATGTAAATGAGATCAGCAGAGAGATCTGAGAGAGAGAGAAACAGAGACAGAGACAGAGGGACAGAGAGAGGAGGCATGTAGCGTTGCCGCGGGTGTTACACTGGCAGGCACTGTCGCAAGAGCAGTTGGGAACGGACACAGAGGACTGAGAGCATCAGGCATTAAGGGACTTTTGAAATTAGGCAAATTTAAAGTACAGGTCAGTCTGGGCCTCGAGGAAACAGAGCTGGTTGGAAAGGCTGTCTCACCAAGAGCTTTCTCTCTATATTTAGCCCACTAAGTGATAATCCATAAGTTACATCGTATCACACAGGCTTACTTACCCACCTTTCAGGGGTGCCAGCCCTGAATAGCACATAAAATTGTAACTGGAACAAAAATGGCTTTTTCTTGGAAGGGGTTCAGATCTTGTTTAGAATGTATAGGAGGGGAACATGAAGCAAATATTCTCTTCTCAGTCTATAGAACGTGGGCTCCCTGTGAGAAGAGAAAATTTAGAACACTCACAGGTCACATCTCATTCTAGCGACAACTAGTTGGGGTTATGTCCTCCTTGTATTTGTGCTAAGACAGTCAAAGTTTGGCTGCCTTTTTATTCTTAACTTTAGAAAGATGTGAACAAGGATTTGGAAAGGAAAGCATTTATTGTACTGAATAACTTGTGACAATGATTTTCATTCTAAACAGATTTTTAAAAGTAGTTTTATTCTTGGCCATTATCTAGGAATCTAAAATACTTTCAATGTAGTGCACCATTCATTATAATGATGTTCCTTTTGTAATGGATTTAGAACTTATCTGATTCAGAAATAGGATAAAATTGAACTTGATAAACAGAAATTTTGCTAAAGTTATGAAAAAAGATTGTCTTAAGTTTCCAGGAGATACAAAGTATACCAAAGTGGCAACATAATAGTTTATGTTGTTTGCTCCTTGAAAACATCTTTACTTTGGTAATTCAATTTTAAGAATTTATATTGATATAAGGAAATATCATGGATAGAATAGTATTTGCAGCAATTATTATTTTTCCGATAATTAAAAAAAAATGGACGCTCCAAGATCAGGGCATAGATCAGACCAAGATACTGTAAAATGTTTGACATTTATTACACATTATTGACAGCTAATTTATAAAAAGAAATGTATTTGGGGCCTTCAGTACAGAATTTCATTTTGCCTCATATTCATGTGATTTAATTTTTTTCAGTCTTGTTCACTTTTTGGCTATTTTTAGAGCAAATATTATTTTTGATGCTTGACAAAAATGACCATTTTGTAAAGAATATATATATATATATATATATATATATATATATATATATACCATACCATAATCATGCCGTAGAGAGATGCTATCTTACCATTGACAGTGATATTGAAAATTATTTATGGATAAACTATCTCATGTAGAGCCCTTTAAAATTGTACTCTTTAACTCAAACATTTGAACTTACTTCAACTAAGTTTTTTGATCTTTCTAATCCATGATATTTATTTTCTTTGTGTCTGTGTGCTATTTTATTTCACAATATTCCTCTAAGTGATAGCAATATTATTTTATGAGCTAAAATATCACCTGTTGAATGATGTTTTCATTCCTTTAAGTGATGAACATTCTTTCTCATTTCTGAATGTAAAATACTTATAAATAACTTGTTTTTATGATGTAGGTTTATTTTGTAATACACTGTAGAGCACTGTAATATAGTGACCCAGATATGTTCCTGTTATTAGAGAATTTTATATAAAGAAAGAGCATATTAGGAGATGGTTTTCCTTTTACCATCATTTACATTTTCCTTATTTTTCTTTATAATTTCCTTTTTATCAAGAACTATGCTACCTTATTTTTTCTATCTTTAGGGCCCTCTACTATTCAAATTAGCCACCTTCTTTAAATGTGCTTCTTATATAGCACAGATTTTTCCAAGAATTATCTAGCTTCATACAGAATACCTTCACATTTGTTTCCTAAAATAGGACACTCCAATTTGCTTCCATTTCTTATTTTATTTTGAAAGAATTATGCTACTTATTCTGCTTAAGACACAATTTCTTCAACAGACTTCACTATTCTTTCCTGTCCTGATGATATTTTAGCACAAATATCATAGAATCTTGGATTAGAATGACTTTTCTCCACTTCTGCATTTTCAGGAGGCATAGCTAAATTTGTCAATATGTTTTGGTTTTTTTTTTCACTTTTTTTTTTTATTTCAGCATATTATGGGGGTACAGATGTTTAGGTTACGTATGTTGCCCTTGCCACCCCCGCTCCCAAGTCCGAGTTTCAAATACGTCCATCCTTCGGGTGGTGCGCATTGCACTCTTTGTGTATGCAAATACCCGTCCCCTCCTCCCTCCCCCCTCTCCCCTGCCCAGCATCCAATAGATGTTATTCTTACATGTGCATTTATATGTTGTCAATATGGTTTTGACAAATCATTTTCATTTTCTTTCAATGGACTAAGCCTGTTGATTACCGAAGAGTACATTTTTTTTTTAAGTCAGAAGCAAACACTTCAGCACTTCAAACTAGTTAAATAATTAATGTTTTTAACAACAGTAAAATCAGAAATAATTACTCAATATCTCTGCACGGTGAACCCTGCATACTTACAATAGTAATCGAGGTCATTGTTTGCATTTGCTTATTCCACAGCTATCAATAGCTATTTTATACAGTATTCAGCTTCTGTCGTCAGACTATTAATAGAAACAAGTTACAAGAAACAAAACACTGTGGAATGTCACCCATGGTCGGGCCACCTGCTAATAGCAGGGAAGGAACCCAGAGTACTGGAGCTGCTGTTTCCGGGTGCCTGAGGCGTAGGGCACAGCCAGGGCCCAGCACGCAGTCAGCAGAACGGCTTCCGGAAGTGCCGGAAGTGCCGCGTGCACTGGAAGGGAAGGAGCTAACGACCCCGTCCCTCGGAAACCCCGCCCAGAGCACACTGATGGGGGTTTCTATGGTGATGGTGAACCAGCCTCAACTGCCTCAGCCCCAACTGCCAAGTCCTGGGCGTTCCACCCTCCTCCAGGTGCACTGTGGGATTGCCGAGAAGCCGGATGTGAGAGCAGAGCGTGGGGACTCGGAGCTCGAGGCACACGTTTCCCATTGGTGACATTTTGGCGGAAGGCAGTGGCACTTCCTTTTCTGCACCCTGTGACCCCGTCCGGCTCTCGGCCTCCAATCACTGGGCTTCCGCTTCCTGGACTCCGGACCCACACTCCCTCGGTCGCGACGGCAGTACTCTGGCGTGGTTAAGAACAAAACGGAGACGCACCCGGACTTTGCCTGGAGCCCTCTGCGTTGCTAAACTTCCGGTGCAACTTGGAGGCCTTGGACTGTAAGCTTCCTTTGCTTCATAGAAATCAGTCTTGCTGTCCTCCGTGGACAATTCGTTACCGGCCAGAAGTGTCTGCTACTGGAGGCATCAGTAACAACAGTCAGTTGTTATTCAAGCCACAGAAAATTTGTGCCCAAGCTTGTCTGACATCTGCCCTGCCAAGGGTCTATGATGCTGGGCCCTGAGGGAGGCGAAGGTTTTGTGGTCAAGCTCCGTGGCCTGCCCTGGTCCTGCTCCGTTGAGGACGTGCAGAACTTCCTCCGCGACTGCACGATTCGCGATGAGACAGCGGGCGTCCACTTCATCTACACCAGGGAGGGCAGGCAGAGCGGCCAGGCGTTTGTTGAATTTGGATCAGAAGACGACGTAAAAATGGCCCTGAAGAAAGATCGGGAATGTATGGGACACCGATACATAGAGGTGTTCAAGTCCCACAGAACGGAGATGGAGTGGGTGTTGAAGCACAGCGGTCCCCACGGTGCCGACGGCGCCAACGATGGCTTCGTGCGTCTGCGAGGACTTCCGTATGGATGCACAAAGGAAGAAATTGTCCAGTTCTTCTCAGGGTTGGAAATCGTGCCAAACGGAATCACACTGCCCGTGGACTCTGAGGGCAAGATTACAGGGGAGGCTTTTGTGCAGTTTGCCTCACAGGAGTTGGCCGAGAAGGCCCTGGGGAAGCACAAGGAGCGGATCGGTCACAGGTATATCGAAGTGTTCAAGAGCAGTCAGGAGGAAGTCAGGTCGTACTCGGATCCCCCTCCGAAGTTCATGTCGGTGCAACGGCCGGGGCCCTATAACCGCCACGGCGCGGCCAGGAGGTACGTGGGCATCGTGAAGCAAGCGGGCCTGGAGAGGGTGCGGCCCGCTGCCTACAGCGCCGCCTACGGCGGCTACAGCGGCTACGAGGAGTATGGTGGCCTCAGCGACAGCTACGCCTTCGCCGCCCCCGACGTGTTCGGGAGCGACCTCGGCTACTGTCTCCCGGGGATGTACGAACACAGATACGGAGACAGCGAGTTCACGGTGCAGAGCACCACCGGGCACTGCGTCCACATGAGGGGGCTGCCGTACAAAGCCACCGAGAATGACATTCACAACTTCTTCTCTCCCCTCAAGCCTGTGAGAGTGCAAATCGAGATCGGCCCCGACGGAAGAGTGACCGGCGAAGCAGACGTGGAGTTTGCCACTCACGAAGAGGCCGTGGCATCGATGGCGAAAGACAGGGCCAACATGCAGCACAGGTACATAGAACTCTTCCTGAATTCGACGGCAGCGGCCAGCAGCCAGGTGTACAGCAGCCAGGTGATGCAAGGCATCGGGATGCCGGTGGCCCAGGCCGCTTACGGCGGTCTCGAGAGCCAATCGGTGAGCGGTTGCTACGGCGCGGGCTACGGCGGTCAGAACAGCATGGGTGGATACAACTAGATTGTTAGGAACATCTGAGTTCTTTCAACCCAATTTTCAAAAGCAACGAAGAGCAGATATAAGGAACCTGGGGAACCCATTTTGCACAGCAAGTTCGTGAAATCTGGATTAAAAAATCACCTCTTCAGTGTTTTCCCATACAAACTTTTCCAGCATGTGATATCGAGTAAATTACTATTTTCAGCTTTTCTCAAGTAACATTTTGGTAGTATACTTTAGAGTGATGTTATCTGAGCTTAAGTAGTTTTAAGTATGTTAAATATGGACTTTTTGCCACCACACTGCAGTGAACACATTGGGGAGATGTGCTTTTTCTGGAAAACTCAAAGGTGCCAGCTCCCTGATTCAAAAAGAAATATTTCTTGTTTGTTTATTCCAGTTTATCTTTTCACTTAAAATCTTTTAGGTTAAGTTTAAGCTTTTTAAGAGTTAGTTTTGAGAATTGAGACACAATACTAATACTGTAGGAATTGGAGAGGCCTTGACTTAAAACTGTCTTTGCACTGTGATTTCCTTTCGGGTGTATTTTGTTAAGTGAAACTTGTTAAATTTTTTGTTAGTTAGTTTTTTCTTAAAATAAAAATTTTTCATAATGACTGGCCCAGATATACTCAGTAAAAGGTGATAAAATGACTGGGTGGTTGAAGAGAATTCATTTTAATCCTAATATATTTTAGTGTAAATTTAAAAATGATTTTGTACATCAAAGCTGTGACTTCCCTTATATTCTTATGATGAGGTTAAATAAAAATACAATAAAAATGTTTTAAAAAACACTGTTGAAAATACTTTTTTCAAAGCATTGAAGTTCAGTTAAAATCATGTTTTCCAAATTGCAAGTCTGTTTTTATACTTGAGCAGATACTAGTATTGCAGAGAATTAATTTATTGTACTACAAAGCAATGTTAATGACCAATTTTCTACAAGAACAAAAATATTGCTCCCCTCTAAATACAAGCAAACACCAGTGACTTTGACTTCCTAATTGAATTAATAAAATAATTTTTGGTGTATCATTACAACCCCCATGTTTTAATTAATTAAAGTGGTTTTTCTTTTTTTTTTTTAACTGCAAGCACAGGAGAAAAACAGTAATATATAATACAAACGTGCTATTTTTGCAAAAGAAATAGAGGGGACCTAGACTCATATAAAACAGCTATTTAGTATTGATTTTTTTAATAATAAGGAATTTTACAAGTCCATATAAATTATAAAAATAAAATATTTGCTTGTCTTAGTCTTAAATACATAAATTCTACAGACTGCTTTGTTTTACCATAAATTAGTATTTTATAACATATATAGAATTTAATATTAAAAATTAGGAAATTAGTAAACCATGCATTTATAAACCAACTTGACAAAATAATTCATTGTCACTAAAATGAGTGATCATTTTCATTATTGATTTATGCCTGTACTCAACTTGAAGTTGCGTCCGGGCCAATGGAAAGACCAAGGGCAAATGTAGATGGAAATTTAGAAATAATGAAATCATCATCACTCCTTACAGAATATACAGAACAACTTACTTCTTTCAAAAATACTTTAACTGAATTTTATTTGTTCTCTCAATTTTCAGAGCCCTTTAAGGTACTTGATATACAAGTATATGTTTGGGTGATTTTAATGGTGATGCCAACAAAGAAAAGAGGAATTCTTTCAGGAGACCAAGTCCTATAAAACCTTGTAGTAGTTTTCTCTGTTCTGTAAGATGATCACCACAAACTTGGCCACTTAAAACCACACCCATGTGTTATACTTTCTGAGGGTCAGCTATCCAGGCACATATTAGCTGGTTCTTCTGCTTAGTGTCTCACACAGCTGCAAAGCATCATCTCGTGCAGGTTCCCATCTAGAAGCTAGACTAGGGAAGCATCCACTTTCCTACTCATGTGGTGTAGGATTCCTTAAGGTCCTTGTGTCTGAAGGATTCCTGGCAGTTTGCTTCTCAAAAGGCAGAAAGGAGAGAAACAGTCTCCAGACTGCATTTGTTGACAAGTGTGAGTCCTACATAACATAATGTAATAATGGGAATGAAATTCTGTTACCTTTGTGGAATTTTACAGTTTAGATGAAAGTCATATGTCCTGCCCACACTCAAAATATGAGCTTATACAAGTGTGTGGACATGAGCAGGTGGGGATCATGGGAGCCAATTTATATTCTGCCTGTCCAAATCTTGTTCCCTCTTCAATGGCCTCCCATTTAGAGCTTCACTTAAGCAACCACTGGTGGTGATGAAAGAAAGGTCTGGAGGGAAGGACTGACATTAAGGTCCCACCTTCTAGAATAACATTTAGAAACTTTCTTACTTTAAAAGTATGAATTTTATTATTCATTGGCTTAGAAAGGAAGAAAAGTCATATTCTTGAAAGAAAAGTTATCTTTTAGCAAGCAATCAAAAATGTTCAGGTAGACAAATGAAATACAATTTTATGCAGATAGACTAAAGTTCAAACACAATATCAAGCTCTCTAGCATGTGTGGACAATCTCAAAAGGAAAAATAAAATGTGATTCAGTTTTTTCATTGCTAAATAGTCTTTTAAACAGGCCTGACCGATTTTAACCTTCTTAATTTACAATTCTGCTTTTTATTGTAAAAGTATGACATATGTCTTAGCCATGCAACTAGATATAAAGAATACATTTTTAAAAAGAGCTAGGACAATGCATAAAATATTTCAGACTAATAAATTTTAATCAACCTGTTTTATAATTCTAAAATTGGACTCAGGTAATGCTTTTATTTAAGTTTTAAATAGAGTTATTTCTATTTACATAAAATAAAGTTTTTCATTTTTAAATCAAAGAATCACAACATGTAATATACATTAAATTAGCTGCTGAATGAAAAATTGATCTGGCTAAAATAATCTGTTCTATCTTAGGTTTATTAATCTAAACTTTTATAAAAATGATGACATGTAGATCTCCTATGTAAAGTATACCACATACAATCTTGATTTCTTTTATATGTCCTGTTGTATTACTTCCAATTAAGATAGTATTTTTTATAACAAAATAAGAAAATATTAGTTTAGGAAAAAAGTAGATTAGCCTTTTTTTATAAACCACAATTTATGCATATAATTAAGAAATATAACACACAAGAACTTTTCTGAGTGACCCAATACTGTTTAGAAAGCTAACCTTGGCTTCTGATATCTGCTTCCCAAATATGTCCTATAAGATGTCCCTCATTAACATCTTGTTTTATTTTCTACTTTTTCCTTCCTCTTCCTTTTTTCTCTTATTCAGAGAGTCTTATTACTTGCCAACTCAGACTGCTTAGATTTCCATAAGTGTTTTCCTTAGTTTATTTATGGCTACTAATATCCTGTCACCACCTAATGTTCTCTTTCTAATCAATTCCGGGTTATATCCAACATTGATTGGTGGTTTTAGGATGTTGCCACTTAACCAGTATGAAACCATAGTTCTGGATAAAATATTTCCTATACAGAGGCAATGAGAGGAGTTCAACATGATAACTTGGTGGGAGAAAAAAAATTAAAGAAAACTACTACATGCACACTCAAATACTTACTAAACCTATCAATCTATTTCAAAATATTATATAAAATGTTGCACACTATGGTTCTGATTATATGTTGGTGTGGATGCAAGGAAAGCCTACAAATTGGGACTAATAATCCATTCTACAAAAAATAATAAATAATTCATTCTACAAAAACGCAGATTGTGTGATCTGATCCCCTTCAATATAGGCAATAGCCAAATGGGGGAAAATGATATTTGATTAATAACAGCCATGACATATCATAATGATGCAACGTAAAACTTAATGAAAGATGGATAAGTGAATATAACTCACTAGAAGACAAATGGGTTCCTCTGCAAAGCTAATTCTTGGGACTCATGTTCAGGTATCCTAGTGGGATATAAGAAGCAGAGTCCTCTGCTCCGTACAGCAACATAGTTGCAGAAATACAGTGAGATCTTGACTCCGTTCTTACTAAGTTGACTAAAGAAAAAGGAAAAAAAAAATGGTGACTCAAGGATGGACAGTATGTGTCAATACTTATAAGGAAAGTGGACTTCTCAGTGTGCAATTCATTACAATAGTAGCAATACCTCTGCCCCTTGAAAGGAGATAGTGAAAGAGAGACTTTGATTCCCTCCCTCCTACCTCTGCTCCCCCTGGTTGGGAAGAAGACAGAACTTTAGGCAAAAATTTTCTCCTTCTTGGTGGAAACATGAGGTAAAGGTGGAGAATATTTCTTTCTCTAAAATAAACTAATATTTTCCAACATGTCAATCCACGGGAGCAAGAGCAATGCATCTTGGTAATGCCTCTGTAGACACAAGTCATCTAAACCTGAAACACATTCAGAAGTAAACGGTTCTAAAAACAAATCTGGCACTTTGAGTTCTCTTTGCCTTTCAGCCTTCTTTATTGGACATAGCTCTTACCATATCTGGACAAAATTTATATTATGTCTCATTGCAAAAAAATTTATCCAGATGTTGATAACTTCTGTGTTATCATTAGTATGCCATCAGCATATATAAGAGGATACAGAAGAAAAGAGGGATAAGCATTTGGAAATCCATGTTTGTTATAATGTATCCTTAAAGCATGGGAGTTTGTTTTGTTGGTTTTGATTGATCGATTTCTACTTCATCGTTCTTAACACGCAGAATTCTTACCACTATTTTCACTTCTCCCATTAGTTAGATAACTCTGTGATAGAGCCATAATTCCAATAGTTCCCAACTATTAATATACAAGAATTCAGATTACTCAAATTGGGATTCTTCCATACTACTGTAAATTTCCACCATGAATACTTTCGATAAATATTTATTTGATACAATATATGCTATAATTGTTGTATTATTTAATTTAATTTTCAAATATGTTTGCATTTCTAATAAAAAAAAAATTTACAGAGATTCGTAGAATACCCAGAAGAGCCTATATATATGCTTTGAGTTCCTTAACAGTTTTAGGAATAAATTTGTATTCC